AGTTCTTTTGATGGCCTTATCTTATTATTATTTTTATTATTAGTCCCTTGGGTTCCTAGTGGAACATAGGGCTTCAGTAGCACGCCTCCAGTGACCTCTGTTCTCTGAGATCTTTTGAACCTGGTTCCACGACAGCCCAGAAGCTCTCATTTCCTGCTCGCACGACCTCCTCCATGTCACCCTCGGACGTCCAACTCGTCGCTTCCCATGGGGATTCCACTCGAGTAACTGGCCTGACGCGTGATGTCCTCAGTCGGCCTTCTCAGTGCATGGCCAATCCATCTCCACTTCCTCCTGCATATTTGTTGCGTGATAGGTTCTTGGTTGGTTCGTTCCCAGAGTTCCTTGTTGCTTATTTTTTCTGGCCATCTGATCTTCAGCAGCGAGCGTAAGCAGTTGTTGATGAATGTCTGTAGTTTATTGGAAATGCCTTTCGTGACGCGCCAAGTCTCTGAGCCATACAAGAGCACTGACTTGACGTTGGTGTTGAAAATCCGTATCTTGTTCCGCATGCTGAGTGCAGAAGATCTCCACACTGGTTTCAGGCTAATGAACGCCTGTCTTGCTTTTCCGATTCTGACTTTGACGTCCTCGTCCGTCCCGCCTGTAGTTGAAACAGTGCTTCCTAGATAAGTGAAGGAGGTTACTTCCTTCAAGTTTCTCCCGTTGATGGTGATTGGAGTTTGTTGTTGTTGTTGATGGTGGTGGTGCGGTATCTTCATCACTTCTGTCTTCTCTATATTCACCTGAAGTCCCGTCTTCGCTGCTGCCTCTTCTGTCAACTTGTTAGTTTTTGCCTGCAGATCTTCAAGTTTATGTGACATTAGGCATAAGTCATCGGCGAAATCCAAGTCTTCTAGGTTCTTTTCCGTCGTCCAGTGTATCCCCCTCTTCTCGCTGCCTACTGTTTGCTGCATGATCCAGTCCACCACAATAAGGAATATCATGGGGGATAGTAGGCAACCTTGTTTCACTCCTGTCTTCACTTCAAAGGCATCACTGAGCTTCCCATTGTGGATTACTTGGCATGTGGCATCTTCATATAGTTGTTGAATGAGGCGGATAAAGGTTTGCGGTACTCCGTAGTATTGAAGCAGTTTCCAAATTACTTCTCGGTCGACGCTGTCAAAGGCCTTCTCAAAGTCGATGAAGTTGAGGTGGAGAGGTGATTGCCATTCTATGCTCTGTTCTATGATGATGCGAAGTGTAGCGTTGCAATTTGGTCTGCACATGATTTGTACTTCCTGAAGCCTGCCTGTTCCGGTCGCAGTTTTGAATCCAGTGCGTCTTTAAGCCTCTCTAGGATGATGCGGCTTAATATTTTACTTGGGGTGGACAGGAGAGTGATTCCGCGCCAATTCTTGCAAGCACTGAGGTCTCCCTTCTTCGGCAGTTTGACAAGGTAACCCTTCTTCCAATCGCCAGGTACCTTCTCTTCCTTCCACACCTTCTGCAATAGTGGTGTGAGCATGGCCGCTGTTGTCTCTGCATCTGTTCTCAGTGCTTCTGGCGGTATTCCATCTGGTCCTGCTGCTTTCCCGCATTTCAGTAGCTTTATGGCGTTCACGACTTCCATTTTCGTTGGGGGATTAATGTTCACTTGTAGTTCAGCGGCTGCAGGTGGTATTTCTGGACGAAGTGCAGGTGGTGGTGGTGGTCGATTCAAGAGCTTTTTGAAGTGGTCGGCCCATCGTTTCCTCTGTTTCTCTTCTTTTGTAATTAAATTTCCTTCTTCATCTTTTATTGGTTTCATCTGTGTTGGTCTCTTCCCTGATAGCAACCTGGTTATTTGATACAATGTCGTCAGGTCTCTCTTACCTGCAGCCTGTTCTGCTTCACTTGCCAGTGTTTCGTAGAAGTGTCTTTTGTCTTTGCGTGCACTCTTCTTCACTTCTTTGTCCAGTGTTTTATACATTGTGCTCAGTTCCTCTTGTCGTTGAGCATCCTTGCACTGGTTTATCTTCTGCTTCACCATCCTCCTCTCCTCTATCAGCTTCCAGGTATCCGTCGAGATCCATTCCTTGTCTTCTTTCTTCTTCCTTCCTAATACTGTTGTGCAGGTTTCTTTCCACATAGCTTTCAAAGACTTCCAGTGTTCTTCCACACAGGTTTCTTCAGGGATGTTGCTCGATGTCTCCCATTTTGTCTTGATGGCTGGCTGTGAAGATTTCCTTTGTAGTTTCATCCTTCAGTTTCCGAGTGTTGTACTTGAACTGAGGTCTATCACCAGCTTCCTTGAAGGCTTTTAACTTGATTTGGAAGGTTCCTTGCACTAGGTAGTGGTCTGAACCTACATCTGCTCCTCTTCTTGACCTTGTGTTAAGTAGACTGCGTCTCCATTTTCTTGAGATTGAGATGAAGTCGATTTGATTTTTAGTGTGTCCATCTGGTGAAATCCATGTCGCTTTGTGGATATCCTTGTGCCTGAACACACTGCCTCCAATCACCAAATCGTTGAATGCACAGAATTCTGCAAACAATTCTCCATTCTCATTCATTTCACCTAGCGCCTCTCGACCCATGGTTAGTTCTCTTCCTGTGTTGTCCCCTCCCAGTTTGGCATTCATGTCGCCCATTAGAATTTTGATATCGCCAACTGACGTCTTGTCCAGTGTTGATTGAAGTTGTCTGTAGAATTCCTCCTTTTTCTCTTGCTCTGCATTATTTGTAGGTGCATAACATTGTATGATTGTGACCTTTCTTCCTTTTGAGTTGAATCTTGCTGTCATGATCCTGGAGGAGATTGGTTCCCACTGCATGAGAGCCTTCGATGCTCTTGAGGACATCATGATAGCCACTCCCTCAGTGTGCTCGTGGTTGTCGTCTGGGTGACAATATCGGAGTAGATTATTGATTCTCCAGTTGACAGTTTGGAGAGTCCACTCCCATTCCATCTGCTTTCGCAAATCCCAAGCACTTCGATGTTATACCTTCTCATCTCCTTTGCAATCTGGGCTGCCTTACTGGGTTCAAACATGGTGCGGACATTCCATGTCCCCACGTTTACTTTCGCTTTCATCGAGGGAGAGAAGACACATCGGCCAATTGGCTTCCCGAAGGCTTTCACCAACTGGCGTCATTTCGCCTCTCCGATTCCAGCGGGGAATAAGTTTGTTTTCATTTTTTATATTTTGTTTGTGCTTTGAAGTTTCTTTAGCGGTTAGATTTGTTTTACGGGGTAGGGTTGCTAGCCCTATGCCCAACCTTCCCTCTTTACCCGGGCTTAGGACCGGCTAGTAACTAGTAAACTAGTTAACCAGGCGAGGTTGATGGCCTTATCTAGCCTCCGTCAATTACTTCTAAGACATGGTCTCCTTTAAAAGACAATATAATGAATACTGACATTTTTGAAGCCCGGAGAACTGCTGTTTTGAATTGTTTACTTTTCAAGTACTTAGTGACAAAGCCTTCAGGATAGCCACATTTAGCTAAGAAATGATCCAATATTTTCATTTCATAATCAATGGTACTCTCAGAGCAAAGTTTCCTTGCTCCATCAAATAGGGTTTTAATTCAGTTCTTTCTATATTGGAGGGGAACAAAACTCCTGGGGTGGAGATATTATCCAGAACATGAAGGCTTTCTAGAGACGGATCTCTCTATAGGTGAAACGTTCTTTTTTACTAAGGAAATCTCTAGGAAGTTGATGTGATCATTTTCTTCGTGTTCAACTTTTAAGTTGAGGTCTACGTGACATGAGTTAAAGTTCCTCAGCAGGCTTTCCGCTTCCATTTTACGTTTACATACAATAAAAATATCATCTACGTGTCACCGGTACCGTCTTTTACATCTGTTCTATCAATTTCCTAAGGTTACTGGCCTCTAGACTTGAAAGAAACAAGTCAGCTAAAAGTGGTCCTAACTGGCTACCCATTTCCACGCCACTGACCTGACGATATAACTGACCTTTGATCTGGGACTGAATACTTTTAGTACACAGCAGCGACGATTTCCAATTTTCTTCTTCTGGAATAGGTATATCATCAATGTGTTTGCAAATAGATTCAGTAGTTTCAATAACTAGAACATTTGCGAAATAAGGAGATTATATCAAATGGCACAAGATGCTTGCTGCTATCACTGAAGTTAGCAACATTTTGAACGTACTGTAATGTATCGGAAACAATTATTTGTGTATGTATTCCCTTACTGCATATAACAGTATATAAAATCATGCATGTAGGGTAAAACGTTGGCAAGTCTGATTGGAATTTATGAATTCAAAAAATTCGGCTTTAATTACGTTTGTTGCTTGTTTCGAATTTGTATCTAGAAACAAATGTTTTGAAAACAATATCGTCTGCTTACATGTCTTGTTCTAATTGATAACAAAAGCAAGGTTTAAAGAACTGTTGTAGATCTTTCTGTATGGGCTAAATTTTGATGTTTTCATTTCAGAGAGATATATTATTTGAAATATACAACTGTATGCGCCTTAACCCTCACCTTTTCTACGATTCACTGACCCTATATTTTTCCGATAAGGTCAAAGCAATACATTTCGAAATATAAAGTCCAATGAAATAATTCCAACAACTGGGGTAATCACGAACAGTACTTTTGATGGAAATATTGCCAAAACTAAATAGCATCATTGTGTTTAAACAATCATTACAAATATATTTATGATAAATTGATTCTCTTCACAATGTAAAAATTTTTCATGGACATAATACAATGAAAATGCTCAATAAATATTTATCCGTAGCTGACTGATAGGTAGAATTCATTGTTCTTCCCTATAAATTTATATTTCTGTTTTAAATGGAGATGTATTTGACAGTTTTGCAACACATCTTATTCAGTACTAAACACACAATACTAACTACCAAGTTTTTCCAAAGAAAAGGCATTATTCAGACTCTGAGTGCGAACAGTAGAAAAACTTGTGACATCGTTGTGTTCAAGAATACTTCCAATTGGATGCCACCAATAACCTTGATGCTGATTTTCTATTGGTTTGCCTAAGCAAAAGGTCATACATCTATGCAAACAGTTCTGATTATTTTCTCTTATTTTTGCGTGTAACAAAATAGACATTAATTAATTTGTTTGAATGTGAAAGAAAAGCTGTTCTCCTTAATGCAGTATGAATAGTGGATTGTAAGAAACCTTTCAAAATGTAAACATTTAAGAATAGCAGGGAGTATGTCTTGAAATCTGACATCCACTTGTGTATTACCTATTTTGTCTTATCACAACTATGAAATGACTTCCGCTCAGGATCAACAAGTTATTAATCTCAATAACGAAACAAATGATAGCAGTTATGCAATACACCCAATCGTTATTGATAACCAAGCATTGTCAAACTATGTAACAGCTAGTGAACTGCAAAATACACAATGGACATCATGGTTAGGCATAACAGTTGTTTCACTTACACTGATAATAACCTGGATTCTGCACATTTCAATGATTGTATCCATCAGTAGAAGTATGATTATGAAGCATATCACATACTTTTATATCAGTTCACTTGGATTTGTTATAATGTTACATTCGATGTTAAATTTCCCTGTTAATATCATTAGTAATTTGATTGGTAGGTTATTGATAGTCGTTATTAATGTGTAATCACTAACTGTTATTGCTGTGTGTGCATATATCGATAAGTAATCATTATTATTATGTTCATGGTTTACTGAATTGAATGATCATTTCGCAAATTGTCTGTAGACTGTCACTTTCATTATGCCATTTCTCACAGTTGGAGCATATTTTAATTACTTGACTGTGATGTATAGAAAGTTTTGTTAGGAGCTGCCCAGTAAATACAGTGGATTGTGATCTTTCATGTATGATGGTATGCTGGTGGAAGATAAAATTTACTCAGAGTCATGAATACCTGAATCGGTAGATAATGGTTAGTTAAAAAGTGATATTTATCATCAACCAAAGTCAGTTAATAAGTACTGATCAATTGATTCTTCTTCCTTCATGGAACGAAGTCTGAGATAAGAAAGCTTCAAGAAATAGACGTTTGAATAGATAATTTCACCAGGTGTTATGTGTATTAGTAAAACTATGTTGGTGAAATTGTCTACCATCTGACCACTTTCTTTCAAATAGTCAATGATTCAGAAAAGTACTTATCTCTTAATCCTATCACAAATGTTCTACTGTGAGCTCACTTTTAACGTTGAATATATTGACAGTCAATACTTAGCGTGAAGACTAGCTGTCGATACGTTTTTTATCTAGCCTGTAGGTAGGTACGTTGTTGCAAGTGGGCGCGTAGAGCCCTGCGAGTTTGATGGTGGCTACGAGAATCTGGAAAGGAAAAAAGGAAGCGAGAAAAAGGTGAGCCGACAACTCAGCAAGTGCACAGGATGTACTTACATTTAATCATAAACAATAACTGACAAATGGTGGAGCTTGATAACGAAGAGGTGAGGCAGTCTAGAAATCAAAACTGGATGGTGAATGAGTAAGATTTCAAACTCGTTACAGTAGTAACGTTTGTACTGCTATGAGAAGAAAGTCCTGTCTATTTTGGGAAGTCTATGACTGCCGTTTCTTACTAGTATTTGAAACTATTACTCTGAGTAAATGGTCTTATCATATAAATACAAATATAAGTCTCAAGGAAATGAAGTTAGACTACTACTTGTCACTAATATTTAATGGCCAAATACTTAATAACTAGAAACAACAACTTTCCAAACAGATGGGAATCGATAACAACATTCCTCTTCAAATAGTCACCCAACTAGGAAAAACCTGTCCGTTCAACCAATAACAAACACTCGAGCATAAGTTAACATCTAATGGGGAATATGTTGATGCTCGTTTGAGTCCAGCCGCGGTCCAGATTTTCATCTCGCCTTCAATTATCACCTAGTATAGAATACTATTCTGCCAAACTACGGCTATCTAAGATAGTCAAATGATAATCAATGTGTTGATAGTCAACACAGTTTTTTTTCTATCAGTTTTCATCATAATTTTGTGAAAGTTAAGTCGCACTTAATTTTTGACGTCTATGCATATTGTTCAAGAACTTCAATAATTTTACAAATATAACTGTCACTTTGACAAAAATTGAATTATGACTACCAGTCTTCATTCCCACTGACCACTTCAACAGCTTATAAATACAGTAGGTGGTTTTAAAAAATAAATACAAGTTACTAATCAGTAGAAGATTTATAAACTGCTTACATTTGTGAACCAGAAATGATTGCATAAGTCAACAGATTTAGTGATATATATTAATGGGTGTCCAGTGAAAATCGATGAAATATTTGTACAAAAGTACGTCGTTAATTCCATTTTCAGTTTGTTTATTAGAAATGTTACACATTAAAAGAACATTGTCATTCACTGAACAAAGTTTCGGACACAATTTGTTGTCTATATTCATATCAGGTAACTCCACAACTATGGGACAGACTTTATATATTCCTAATTTTCTCTCTTTCTTTGTGATGACACGGGTAGTAGAAGAAGAAGTACGGTTTCGCCTAACATCTGAAGCTTTTGAGGTTCAAAATAAACATAAAAAAACTGAAAGTGTCACCATGGAATCACTAATATCCCCTACCATCGCAGACATATTAGTGGATATTTGAGAATATGTGACCCTTCAAAAATTTTGTCCTACTCCAAAGAAATGGTTCCCATATTTAGATGATACGCTTACAGTACTAAAATCGGAACACATCAATAGATTCTTGGCACATATATAAGTTCAGTAATGAATAGAATCCACCTTATCTGTGACTTAGAAAGTTATGAAGGTGAGCTAGCAGTGTTGGATTGCAAGATTAAATGAACACTGGATGGAAGTTCAAAGACTAATGTCTGTAGAGAACCTTCCCATACGAATCTCTACTTAGACTTCAGATCACCTCATACCATCTCAGTTAGAGTAGGCTTAGTTAAATGCCTAAGTGATAGGGCAGGAAAGCTTACTGGTAGACCAGAAAATCTACGACAAGAAATTAGACATATCAAGAATACCTTGCATTCGGTAATTACCCACCAAAATTTATCAATAAATTCATAAGAAATCGAAAGGAAAAGATTGGTAGTAGTAGTAACAGTACGGGTGCTATTAATAGTAATTCTACTACTAATGGTAATAAAGGTGACAGGGTTGAGAGAGAATTCAAAGCCTCTGCAGTGTTACCATACTAAGAAAGCACCTCAGAAGCATCAAGAAGAATTCTCAATAAGGCTGGCTGGGATTAAAGTGGCTTAGAAACAAGCTTTGTAGATTAAAAGATCCTATAGATGCAATTAAGCAAAATAATTTTTTCACCAAATCACTTGCAATCACTGAAAGGTCAAATAAATAGGTGAAAGTAGTCAACAAGGGTCGATTAGAATACACAGCACAAAAACTTAGCTCAATCAAGATTAGTAGATCCTTATAAGGTAAGAAATTTAGAGAAAAGCTTGGCTATAGCTCTTCACGCAATCATACAATCACACGGTAGGGAAGGGTAGAGTGACTGTGTTAAAAACTTGGTTGGATGGAGGGAGAGATCGATAACCACATCTTTGTTCATCGAATCAACACCAAATACATGCAATCGAAATGTTTCTGCATCTGTCCCAGATATATGGAAAATTCTACAGAGGAGAGAAAATTAGGATTATATAAAGTCTGTCTCAAAGTTGTGGAGTTACCTGATATGAATATAGACAACAAATTGCGTCCGAAACTTTGTTCAGTGAATGACACTGTCCTTTCAATGTGTATCATTCCTAATAAACAAACCAAAAATGGAATTAAAATCGACCACAGTGCCCGAGTTTGGTTCCTCTATGTATGCCATTATATAATTGAAAAATATTCCATATTAACTGCTAAATATTTCGTTTAAGTATACGGGTATTGCTTAGACAAAGCAGTTGAAAACAACTGTGAATCACTACAAGTAGATGCATACACAATACATAATATTTTCCTAACTTTACTCCACAACGTATTGAACCCAATAACACATCTGTGAATCAGTAAAAGTTTAAAATCAAGATTTCTTGTTTCAGTAGTTGTATATCAGTAGGAGCCAACCAAACACTACGCTATATATCCTTGATATTTACTTTCAACATTACGGCTTAAATCATTTGAAGATTGGAATGTAAACATCTTGTCATCAGTCATCACGGTCGATGTGGAGTGTACGATCTATCTCTCTCCATATATATAGCAGCTGATATATGCAGTTTTGAATGATTGCATTGAGGAAGCTGTATGCTAGACATCATTATCAATTGCCAAACCTGATCCATATATCTGTCGTCTTAAAAAGCAAAAATGGATTAGTTGTAAACTTCATTACCCCTGAAGAATCAGTCGTCCAGTTTAACATTCGTCAACGACTACCACTTGTCATACACTTTCATTCTGTGCTTACCGATCAATCAATCTAATCGATCTACACTTTATCGACGATAGCTTTTGAATTAGTTTTATGCTACTGAATAGTGGTCAGATGACAAATTCGTCATGTGACTGGTAACCATTAGGTAGTGCTGAAATGTGTTATTATCATTCCTTGGGTAACACTGAGACTAGACAAGGTTTCATTCATTATTCTATTCGGTGTTACTGAATTCAGAAATGAACTTTCGACTTCACAGCTCACTCTCCTGCCGTCTTGAATTTTGATATGATTTGTGCTCCTAGGTTTCTTTTATAGAATAAGTAGCTATCTTGACGATCTGCGAAATCTCATAGTAATCATGTAGATGGATTGCTCTTTTCAGTTTTCCTTCAACATAAATTTATGCTTGTTTCTGAGTTTTAAAGTAGTGTGACGAGATGATCTCACTCAGGTCGCCGTTGAATGAGACTTCGATGTTTTAGGTTGCAGTATAGAAGTAAATCTGTTGATGAGCCTCCAAAACTTACTTCACTTGCTCTGGAAGTTACTGGAGATTGCAAATGCTTTGTTACCTTATCTTATAAACTGACTGAGTTCTGTTAATCATCCAGGTAATGTGGTTGCCAGAGAGTATGACTGTATATCTGTGTTTCAGATGGTTGAAGGCATTCATCGGACAGACTTGAACTACGTTTACGTACTAGTTAGAAATGGTTAGGTGGGGTTGACTTCACATAACTGGTAATGGTTTGTGATGTTGTGCGTGCTGACTGAACCTTTGATCACTAGGCTAGGTGACTTCATCTGTACCTGCTTCCTAGTTGATGTAGAAGCGCTGATGAAGAGTTGAATATTAGACCTGAAAACCAGGAAAATACCATCCGGTTATTGCTTTAGTTTATTTTGGACGGATGGAAACTTTCCGTCAGAAGAACTAAAGCTATTTTTCGGGTCCTTTCCTACTTGTGTTTGAAGCCTTACCAGTAATCGATTTGTATGTCAAGTCCAGTCTTACGTCATAATGTTTACAGCTAGAACAGCTTATTGGTGATGTCTAAGACTTCAGTACTGCTCCTCACGAGTAAGGTGTAATCAGTGTCGTCAAAGTATTTATGACTCACCTTCCTATTTAATGCAAAACAGCACGATATCTACTTTCTGAATTTCTTGCTGATTGCTTCCAAATACCAAACATTATATTTCG